CACGGAATGGAATGGAATGAGCAGGGTGAGAGACTGTCGGAGTTTATCATGTCGACCAACACCATCCATGGTAACTCACAGTTCCAAAAGCCCCCTCACCTTCGTTGGACTTGGGAGTCACCTGATGGACAGTTCCATAACGAGATAGACCACAACATCTTAGTTCCATAACAAGAGACCACATCATCTTCAATCGAAGGTTTTGCCTGACCGACGTCGCTGTTGTTCCAAAGTTCTACACGGGATCCATCGTCTCCTCCGCGCAAGATTCCACTTCTCGATGCGTGTTGAGAGAGCAGCAAAGTTCAGGAAGCGAAGCCCCAGGACAGTCATCAACTGGGACCACTTCGCTTCTCCTCGTCAGCTTATGGGAGGATTCCGTCATCGAAAACATCGACGAGGAACTATCGGCTCGTTGAACATCTTCACGATTGGCAGAAGGCAGAGAGTTTGAAAGTCACCAAGGGACGTCTGTCTCCGGAAACTCTCGCTGATACGCCAACGTGGAGCCGCACGAGCTGCAGGCAATCACCGACTCACGTCCGAGCTTGCGAAGCTATGCAGAGAGGCGATAAAGGAAGATCTCAAGGAGCGAAGAGCAGCAGTATTAGCTGAAGCAGCAGAGGCTGGGAGGAGCATCCGCAATGCCCGCCGAAGCTTTGCCAGCTACAAGACCAAGATGACCTGCCTCCGACGTCCGGATGGAACAGTTACTGCATCCCGAAGGGCAATGGAGAAAGTCATCCACGACTTCTAGTTACTGCATCCCGAAGGGCAATGGAGAAAGTCATCCACGACTTCTACTCGGATCTCTTCGATAGCCATGTCCATCTGCCCACTTATCAACTGCAACAGGATGGATACGTCGTCCCCTCAGTTCTCTCTTCCGAAGTCCGACACGCCATCAAGTCGGTGAAGAATCGTACCGTACAGCCCGGTCTCGAACAGGGTTAAACCGGAACATCTGAAGAACGCACCGCTAATTATCATCAAAGCTCTGGCTCGACTCTTCACGCGCTACTCTGTCGGAATGCAAAGTACACCCCGTGGAAAACCAGCAGGACCGTGTTGCTGTACAAGAAGGGAGACTTGGACGACATTGGCAACTATCGCCCAATCTGCCTGCTGTCTGTAATCTACAAGCTATTCACTCGAGTCATCCTTAACAGGATCGGCAGAATACTAGATGAAGGACAGCCATGCGAGCAAGCAGGGTTTCGAAGGGGTTATTACGATTTTCCAAATCCACGTTACGAGACTCACAAGTATCGCGAGATGCCGCTTTATCTTACATCCATTGAAGTGAAGAACGCCTTCGACTCTGTGGACAGGGAGGACGAGCATGCGGTCAGCGTTATCCAACGCGCTGTCGAGAGGACAATGCTTTCGGGTCACCCCGACAGAAGCGGTCATCGAAGCCTTGGGCGTAGACGACCGCTTCTGTCGGATTGACATCGTTGTTACTCACTACATAAAGATTTTTCGTGGCTCTACAGCAACTTTACGACCAGAATCTCACCATTCTACTGGGAGGTCGTCATCGACGCGAAGACAGGGTGACACCATCTTGCCCAAACTCTTCAGAGCCGCTCTCAAAGACGTCATGCGTCATGCGGATTGGTAAGGTAAGTTAGAGAAGTCGACAGCCGGAACTACACCACCTTCGTTTTGCTGACGACATCGTTCTTATAACGCCGAACATCGAGCAAGCGGAGCGAATGCTGGCTGATTTCGACTGCGCCTGTGGTAAGGTTGGTCTACAGCTGAACCTAACGAAGACGATGTTTATGAGAAACGGATTGGTTTCTGATGCCCCATTCACGCTCAACGGAACGAACATCACCGAATGCTCCAGCTACGTGTACCTAGGTCGGGAAATCAATATGTGATGAACGATCCCGAGTTATTACGAGCAGGAGGGAAACGAGCGGCTGGGGAGCGTATAAGAACATCGAGGGAGTAGTGAAGAAGACGAAGAACATCCGGCTCCGTGCCCACCTCTTCGATTCCGCTGTCCTTCCTGCCCTAACCTACGCCTCAGAGACTTGGACTCTGCGCAGGCACGCTATATGATTAGGCACGATCACCTGTTCCAACCCCGATCCAGGCGGACAAATGTTGATGTCGCGCCACTTTTGCGGCAAAGGCCTTAGAAGCTCGCTTTACCCGCAGTCCACACATTGGTCCGCAAGCATCGCCTTGCGCTGTATGCTGCCATGCTGGCGCCACGAGAAGAGCGTGGCCGCGTCAGCACCGCGGTCAGGCTCAACCGCCCCTTGCGCAAAGATCAACGAGGCGGTCGTTATCAGCAAATGAAAGAGGGCCGCAAGCCCAAGTATGATACCACCCATAAAATTTGAAGGTGCCAGGGCATGGCAAAATGGTGAAGAAGGACAGACTTCTATACAACTGTGACTGCCAATCACAGACGATTGGATGGCGCATCCCAGAGCAGGAGTTCTTGTTGAATCACTTCATGTTCCAATGAGCATGAGCAAACGAATTCTTCCAGAAAAACGCCGATGCTTTCAGACCACATCGTAGGCAAGAGAAACGCAGCAAATTCGACTTACCTTCAAAGTCCTAATTGAAAATTTTGCCAAAAGAAAGGCTTTCATTTTGAAACTTTCCAGAGCAATCTAGCATTTGCTCTGTAATTTCACACGACTCTTTCAGAATCCTCTTGATTTTTCCTGAATTGAGATTTTTTTCTCCAGAGAGCCGTAGTTGAAGCGCGCGCAACCAACTGGCCCACTCTGGGATGCGCCGTGTGCTTCACATCCCTTCAGATTCTTGGAGTCACTTGAAAGATAAGTCGAAGTCGAAAAATGTGCGAATTCCGGATTCCGGGGGAGGAGGATTCTGTAATTAATCGCTTGGGCAGCTAGAAAATTACGTGGACCCTTTTAGACTACGAAAATTTTATTTGGGCGGAATCACATTGTTATTGGAGATCCTTTGGCCTTCCATAGCATCGATTCGACAGTGTTGCTCACACGGTCTCGATACGGCCCGACCTCTTCCTCCAATCAAGCCAATACTACCCCCCCCCCCTCCCTCCCCTCCCCCTGTCACCCGGGGATTCCTCAACGCACGCCTGAACCTGACGCAAAGGAGGGAAAATATGACCTTTGGAAGGTACGTTTCGCAATTACATCAATGTACTTCGAGGATCACTTTTTCACTTCATACAGAGGCTTGAAGCATCTAAGAAAAGTTGGTGGTTTCCCGAAAATAGACTTTTTGCGATTACAATGTTAGAATTTCTGTTTTAAAGGACGAATTCACGATTAGAATGAAGGTCGAAGAAGGAGTAATTCACCTAGTTGAGGGACCCGCGGACCTCCTGAGGGTGCGGACTGAAGCGCAATTGGCACCGAAGGAGTTGACCTCGGCGACCTATTAAGGCTCAATCTTGGCGCGGTGGGCCAGTGCACGCCCACCGATCATCTGATCACTCGCCGCAGGTCTATACGTGGCGAGTGATTAGATAGGTGAGAGAGCGTAGTGTTGAAGAGGGCACAGCGATGATAGTCGCATCAATGCTCAAATCAACGGGCAAGGAAGGGGTCCCATTTCTCAGGGTTCTCATGGTTTTTCCTTCTTTCGATCGCTGAGTTGATTTGTAATGGGTTGCCTTGCCAGCGTGAATTCGTCCTTTGATGAATAAAATTTGTGTTGCCTTGACTTCTTTCTCTGTGCTAGACAAAGTGTGCGCCGTATCAACTTCCCAAAGTCCACCTCTTCCATGTCGATGACGGCCCATACATAATGGTGAACGTAAATTTCTGTGAATAGATATAAATAGCTGATTTAAATAAATAGCTGGACGTCGTAATGATAACCGTGAGGGTTGGGGGTGTTAGCATCGAACTCTGCGCAGCACCGTGACGGACCGCAATGGACGCTAAGTGTGGGCTCGTTCGCTCACTCTCCATCTCCATGTCAAGGTGGAATACGGCTGTAAAAGAAGTGTGCCTCGATCAAGTCGTCGTCGACGGCTCCTTCGCTCTTTTTCTAGATAAATCTTCACCTTCACCTTCGTTTTTGGACGCTCTTGCACACCCTTTCAAATCCAACTCGTGAATTAAGCGTAAAAAATGTATGGCAATGAGTGCTTAGATTTGTTTCTAACTTCGTATAATGTATGCTATACGAAGTTATTTTTGAAAGAGATTTCACCACATTACTTTTGTATTCAAATCTTGACCTTGTTGGCGTTCGAACTCTAACTTTGCGCAATAGCGCTTAACGTGCACTCAAATGGGCGGTACCTTTTCGCTAATTAGTCGCTTATCAAAAATATCTTTCTGCAGCAGTTTTCCTGGGTTATCCTACTTCACTTGTTTTAACGTTTGGAAAACCCACCTCGATTTCTACATGTTTGGGGGGGGCGGCAACGCCCGAGTCAGAATGTGGCAGCAGCTATGTAATAGAAGGGGATCAATCGCAATTCTGTATTACCTACATGAGACCAAATAGAGTCACATTCCCTTCCTTGAAGAAGGAGTATTCACTCTTTGTTCATTCGAATCGAATGCACTCGATTGAATTTTTAAGAACACCTTCCATGTTTTTAGGATCTAGGTAACAGCCGTCTAGACCGACAGCATTAGAAGATTTCCTACGAGAACATGGTGCAGGTTTATAAGCTCAGGCGGGTCCTGTCTGTCGTGACAATTTGGCGATGTTACCGGAAATGCTAATCGAGAGTCCCTCCCGCATCAGAGCAGAACGTCTCTAGAAAGCTATTTCAATAGTTAACCGATTGACGAATCCATGTAAGACCTTCAGGCTGAAACGATAACGGTAGCCCTCCTTGAGCTTTATTGGATAGCAGATGACATCATATTTCGAGGACGGTGGCTTTTTGCCCCCACCTTCCGTATATTCTCTGTGGTCAGCTAACACTGTGTGCTGTTGTCTCTGAATTAATGGCGCCTAGTTTTTTCGCTCTATCAAAATTCGCAATTTCGTGTAATCTGCTTTTACAAACATTTTTATTCGAAAATTCCATTCCGATTAGAGCGGAGCTGCAGAAGAAATTCACTGAATTCGTTCCGTACTTTCATAGCAAAATCATCTGATTCGTTACTGAACAAGCACATTATATCCATGAACCTTCCAAAGTTATCATACCTGCAGGTGCATCCAAATTTCGTGTCTTTAGGGAGCTTCCGAACCTAAACAAATTGACAAAACAGCTATTATTACTACTATTATCAAAGATGCCGCACAAGTTATCGTCTTCTTACAAAGGGGATGCCATATCAAAGGATCCAGAAACCGTCTTCCTATTGGAGTACAAATAAACGATATGCCATGTTTTGCTCCCCTTCTCATTCAAAACTCACGTAATATTCAGCACCCAGTCAGCCGCAAGTGATATCAAACCACACCCCCGGCAGAAGTAGTTGTTGAAGAATCTACTCAATGCCGAGATACAGGGTTTTCCACCCCAATTCGTAAACCTTGCATTCCATTTCGGAAACGTTGCAGCTATTTCGTAAACGTTGCAGCCCATTTCGTAAACATTGCAACCGATTTCGTCATTCCAACGCCCAATTCGTCATTCTTGCAACCAATTTCGGATACGTTGCAACCGATTTCGTCATTCTAACGCCCAATTTCGTCATTCTTGCAACAATTTCGGATACGTTGCAACCAATTTCGTCAAAGTTCCAGCACATTTCGTAAACTTTGCAATCAATTTCGTCATTTTAACCCCTAATTCGTCATTCTTGCAAGCAATTTCGTAAACCTTGCAATCAATTTCGGCAAAAATAAAAATTTCGCTGAAACTTATCCTACAGGGTTATCGAGGCACCTGATCACGAATGTGACATCCGCTTTGGCAAATTGGCGCCATTTGGCGCCTGGTCTCGCCGCGACTCATTCCCAGCGAATCCGCTGTAAACTTGTGTATAGGGGCTATTTCGAGCCCTGGTTACGATTATGATATTAATTCTTGACGACGGCCCCATTTGGCCTCTATTTCCACTCGTCAGCGCCATCCCATCGGTTATATCGGGAAATATGCGTTGAACAACACCTAATGTTAAAAACGAATGCTTAGAAAGTTCACAGCGAATTTGTTGGCGGAGCGAGGATGTTAACGTATTGTCCCGAACCTGCGCCACGTGCAGTTACAGGGCAAGCGATTACAGTATTGCTAACGCCTAAGTTCAAACTATCTTGTCGCCGGTTTCAATTGAAAAATGGCTACAGGTAGAAGTCGTGATGGAGGAAATAATAAGGCTGGATTCCTTATGTCACACTGAACAGAACATATCACGCAAAGTCGGCTGAAATCGTGGAGAACAGTATCCCCATCGATAGCGCAATATGATGTTTTGCTCACAGCATGCGTGAAGAAGTGCAATTATCTTTCGAGGCAAGAGCGACAAAATCCGCCGCAAGGTTGGAGCACAAAGCCGTCACTGGCCAATATTCTCAGCTTTTCCTTCGCCCTCCCCCTACCGGTCTCCTTAGATTTAGGCTTTGAGACTAGAGGGATGTGTAATCAATTTTCATTACCCACAAAGTTCAACCTCTTCTCCAAGGCTCAGTCTGCGTAAGGGTGCCCCATTGAGTACACTTACGCCTTGAAAAAATCAATTCACAACAGTGGTGCAACCGCTCCTGTAAGCGGATCATTTCCTCCAATGGAACTGAATTACATTTTACGGCATCTCTTACAGAAAGAATGAACATATCCCGTGGCCTATCATCTACAAGTATGCGCTCCCACTTTCAGCACAAGTCATCCTCACAAGGATACCTTTGTGTCAGAATTCAATGTCTATGTAAATATGTACAAGTGTCAATTAAATCAACTAACAACTCCGGATTTTTGGCTCGCAACACATCGAAAACAAGGTCGGCTGTGAAAGGTGAATACTAACCAGTTTATGACGGGAACTATCTCACGATTGTGAACTCTCTCCTCCCTCAGGTATTAACCATAAGTGAGGTTTCTTCCCCTCGAGTTCCTCACGACCAGGGTCAACCGTCCGGTGGACAAAGTCCAACGAGGGGGTGGGGGGGGTCGTATTTTTCGCGAGGTAGCGTCAATGTCAAAAGGGGATGTTTTTCTATGGAATGGATAGTGGGTTCTTGTAGGGTGGGCTTTTGGGTTGAGTGTGAGTGTGAAAATTTTGCCCTTTCACGTTCCATATATGGGTGGTGGAGGATGGTCGTGTGGAGTTGGCCCTGGGGGCAGGGTCAACCCTACGTTGGTACAAGTACCAACGGGGGGGTCGTACCTGGTTGAGTTTGTAGGAGGGGGGGTCGTACCCACTTTAGTCGCTCGAAATCACGTGTGGGATTGAGGTGAAACTAAGATTTCGTGGGTAGTAGGCTGGGCGAGTGGAGGGCGCGCAGGATAAAAATTTGCCGTTTCAGCGGCGTATATACCCCCTAGAAAAGGAAGTAGTGGGAGTATAGGTAAAAAATGGGTTGAAATGGTGGAAATAGAAGGAAATTTTCGGAGATATTTACCGTTTCAGAGTGACTATATACCCCCCGCTCGACGGCATTTTTTGGAGGAAAAGTGGGCGGCATTTTTTGGAGGAAAAAGTGGGCGGGGTTTTGATGGAAGATGGAGATGGTGGAGGTATGGAAAAGGGGGTCGTATCAAATCCACGTTGGGGGAGGGGGGTCGTAAAAATTTTCAAAAAGTACCAACGATAGGACCGACCCTGCTGGAGGGGAGCTCCTATCGAGGCCCTCCAGAGGGGAGAGGAGGCTCCTAAAATTTTCGAAGTTGGTCCAATGTGACGGTTGACCTTGCTCACGACACTGCACACTATAGCACCAATGATTGTTCCAGTCCAGATTGTTTCAACATTACAAATATGCTAGTAGGTCATTCTAAGGCTTAAGTTAGGAAGTGAATTACATGAGCAATTAGAGTGGCTTCCAGGCATGGCTTTCCATTAATATGTAGAACACTTCTCGATGCCCGTCACTCATTCCAAAGGAGAAAAGGATGACTCAACTCTGCGAAATATTCAGAGCTGTGGTAGTCATGATGATTAGTCTTGTCCCTTTCATCACCGGAGCCTCGCCGGTAGTCATTAGAAATCAACGACAAAAGAAGGCGTGGGAGTACTGTAATCGCTTGTCGTACGCAATTGCATGGGCGCAGGGTGGGAGAAATACGTAACATAGGGATGAGTCGGGGCGCCCACCCGGGGGGGGGGGGGGGGGGGGGGGGGGGGGGGGGGGGGGGGGGGGGGGGGGGGGGGGGGGGGGGGGGGGGGGGGGGCCCCCAACCACCAAGTGGCGCCAAATTTGGCGCCCAGCGCCAAGCGGATGTCACATTCGTGATCAGGTGCCTCGATAACCCCTGTAGGATAAGTTTCAGCGAAATTTTTTTTTTTTGCCGAAATTGATTGCAAGGTTTACGAAATTGCTTGCAAGAATGACGAATTAGGGGTTAAAATGACGAAATTGATTGCAAAGTTTACGAAATGTGCTGGAACTTTGACGAAATTGGTTGCAACGTTTACGAAATCGGTTGCAACGTATCCGAAATTGGTTGCAAGAATGACGAATTGGGCGTTAGAATGACGAAATCGGTTGCAACGTATCCGAAATTGGTTGCAAGAATGACGAATTGGGCGTTAGAATGACGAAATCGGTTGCAATGTTTACGAAATGGGCTGCAACGTTTACGAAATGGGCTGCAACGTTTACGAAATAGAATGCAAGGTTTCCGAAATGGAATGCAAGGTTTACGAATTGGGGTGGAAAACCCTGTAAATTAGCCCACGATATCACAGTAGCATGTGCGTTGTCGCGGTTCGAAAGTGCGTGATAATGACGCTAGGGCCTTACAAAGTCACCTCTTGGCGACTAATTGTAGCATTTAGACGAGTAAGGTGCGAACACGCCCATGGCAAGCAACGTGGATTACGACAAGCGGCTACCTCAAATGCGCACGGACTGAGCCGTGGAGCAGGCAAGTTCGTGCAACACGTCAAGCCCCGCTCCTTACTTGGTTCAAGGAAAATCCTCGTTTGAGGTTTTCTGACAGTTTTCTCTGTCCTTGTTTCATTTTTAGTCTTCTCGACATTCAGAACCCCATTGTCGTCCGTCGTGACTCCACAAACTCGATTTGGTGGCGTTACGTCGAAAATCATGTCCAACGACACACACCCGCCATTGGAATGATGAAGTGATCTTTCAACTTTATCTACCAGAATGGATACTCTGGTACCCATGTTTGGGAAAAAAATCTAGAGGATATGATGAATCGAGCCCTTCGCCTCAGGTTGCCTGGAGTCACAAGCTGAGTTTGATATCTTTTCATCTTTCATAAAAAATGGATTACTCGTGATCTGATGCCATAGCAAAGACTAACCCATTTGAACTGAGACGTGAGGAGCTCAAGAGTCCCGAGAAATTTGGACGACAACGATGAATGATCAAACTCCTTGAATGACCTTAACTGACTCTTACAACAGAGAGGATAGCAAAGCAAAAGCACGTGAACGAACCTTCCAGCCGCTACTCCGGTGTAGTTTTTATACTTCACTCTGCTAAAGAGGACTTTTTCAGCCTTTTCTGACACATGTTTCCTCCATTTCTAAAAGAATATGTGATGGGGAAAAATCAAAGCAGAACTATACGAGATGTACCCTCATTTCATTCTGTTCAGTATGGTGACGGCATTCGAAAGCATGCCCATTATATCTAATGTCTTGCAGAGGCTCAATCAAGTGCATAAGTTAAGGTTTCTGCTGTGAATTGCGTAACATAAGCAATGGGGCGCACACGATGAAGGAAGGCTTGACGAAGGTGGGCAGTATTCTTTCTAGATGCGAACTGAGACTTTGTTTGTGGTAAAAAAGCCACATGCCAATGCCTGAACTCAGCCTTATAACTATGAATCGGAAGGGATCCAACCAATGTTCCTTATGCTCTCCAGCCAGAATAGTATATAAATTATCAACTCAACCATCTCGCGATCCAACCGCATTGTCGATCTTGAAGAGGAAATTATCTTTCATCGAATTAGTGGCAATAGGCTTCAGTAAAACTACAAGAACCCCGTGCTTGTTGGTCGACATTGAGCACCACTCCAATATAGCACCACTTACATTTAGCGTTAGTTTCCACCAGAGGGAAGAACACCGCAGCAAGAACGAACAACATTTTGATTGTGACAAAATCGTTCCCATGCTTGCTTTCCATATATGTGGTAGTGCATTAAAATCAAATTATGTTATGTCACGTTTTCACTATACCTTTTAAGAGCTATTTTCGAACTACATTATTCGTTATGAACATTTTATTTCATAAAAGGGGTTGGGGGAGGGGAAAGAACGAAACATAAGCGTTAGTTTCGATAATACTAATCCTACACACAAGACAAAATGATCACTCTTTCCGTGGAAGATTCCTTTAAGGTATCGTTTTCTGTGGTAATGAGGGCGGAGCTTTTTCCGTGGAAGATTCCTTTAAGCAGGCGGAAGAACTGCACTTTGCTGATTTCATCGCAATGCACCCCAGCCGCTACTTGTAAAGCACTTCGACAACTGTAGAGCACTTTTGACGCTATCAGAGAACTTCATCGTTGTCTTTTACACCGACGGCATCGGAAAATTTTTCCACGCAAAAATAGTGCACGATTCGAGGTCCCGTAATCGCGAGTCAATCGTAAGGCGAACTGCGGCCAAAAACAGCAGTTAACAATCAAAATAAGTCAAAATCAATTGCTAAAGCTTTCAGCCTCGCGGTCATTGCCGATATCGGCTAACCGGCTCAACACGTACGTGTGAGTGCTGACAAGCTATGGTACGTATACCATGAAAAGCTGAGTTGGAATGAAATGGTGCCCCGGTAGCGTAACTGGTAGCGCACTTGCCCGGAAAGCGAGAGGTGCGGGTTCTAGTCCCGTCCTGGGGCGAAAGTTTTGTTCACAACCCAGCATTCTTGTGAAAGCAGTTTGAAGCATCTGTGCGAATCGCTTTCCCTTCACTTTTTTAGAAGCTCGATAACTCAACAACCAAAACTTGTCCAACAGCCGCGCTTCTTGTACTATGTCCGAGCAGGCGCAGTCATCGCTAGAGGAGTTCTCCTAAACTTTTGGAAACCAGCCAAAAGTAAGATTCCGAGACTGTGACAACATCGCGTCTTACGGACCCAAGTGGCCGTAAAGTCATCAGTCCATTAATGATTTTGGAGAAACCAAACTCAGGAAACGACCGGACTTTTTGAACACCTCAATAGTGAACTGCTTACTAGAGAGGAAGACGCGCAGTACTCCTCCTGGTGTTAGGACATTCGAGCTGAACTTTACATTTTTGGTTGACGTTTTTAGTTGAAAAATTTCAAATGAGATCCCGTTTAATATAACTTTTAAAATACATCTCCCAATCCATCGCAACGCTGAAAAATCCAAACCTATTCGCTACGTATCTCAGGTACTTAACTTTGTTATTGGTGTCTATTTTTAGTGATCATGACTTAGTGCATTCAAAATTCATGAGAAAGTTACAAATTACATGATAGTTATGAAACTACCCTGTGTAGAGTGTTTTTTTCAGCATTTTCTAGCATTGTTACTGAGTCATTCGCTGTTGACATAAACAACGAAGAGAAAGCCAAATGCATTTCTCGTTATCCACCTTCCCTACTTTTTGATTTGAACAAGTTCAGCTTGGTCTCATTAATTTCTTGTGGAAACTTTTATGCACGGACAGCTCTATGACAGCCGATTCGTCAATACGGGTTTCAAAAAGCTAAAAATGGTGATTCCATTGTGAATGACAAAAAAGGGCCCCGCCAAGCAGAAAAAAGTTCCATGACGAAAATACGCAGGCATTACAATGCTGAAAGAGCTTGTACGAATTACAATTTCTGGAATAACTGATGCAAATCGATCGCAAGCAGAGTGAATATCCAAAAGCAAAGCTGAGGGTCGTCTTACATCAATGATCTCGGCCGGCCACACTTCGCTAAAACTCTCAACTATGACAGCCTCAGAGCAAGTAAAACCTCTCTACATCCCAACAACCCGCACGTCCAAGCCTAAGTGAGTAGAGAAACGAGATAGAGCAATAATGACTGACGGCGTTATCGTCTTACAGCCTGTCTGCGCCGCAAAAGACAAGGGTGGCTTACGACCGGATATACAATACGAGACTCTACCACACTCGCGATAGTTGCGAACGTACTGCACCCTCATGGACCTTTCATACAAAAAAGTAGACAGCAACGTGTAGGTCAAGAGCAGCGCAATACTCAGGATCTACATAACATCTACGAGCATGTCCTCTGGATATCGACGAAGAGTCGACGCCATTGCTTTAGACGGTGGGTAGTCGTGTGGGAACATAGCAGCTCTTTGCACGGGCGCAGAGACTTTTATTTTCGTCTGAGAATAGCGCTTTCTATCCTGGTGAGGACAACGGCGCGATGCCTTCTGCCTTCGTCCAGGGGGAGGCGCGGCGGCAATATGCGGTGCAGTCACGTCATTAATCCCCAAGTCCCCGCGCATGCGGGAGCGACAGCTACGTCGACCCTCGTCGTGGCACTCAGCTAGGCCGCAACTTGCATAAACACCCGATTCGCTTCCGGATCTTGGATTGCTGTCTCTTCCTTTCGTTGATTAGCTTTCCTCCTTGCGGAGTCAGTGTTTCTGGCATAGTTCTTTTGCGATGCTTTCTCACATTACCCGTTTTCCGCCTTGGCTTGTCTTTTGCATATATGTTATTAGGCTAGCTATTTGCCCTTAATAAAATGAGCAATAGACCAAATGTAGTCGCCTGTGTCCTGAGCATATCAAGTTCGACTTCGGAAACAAACAGTTTTTTACGCGCAATAAAAGTATCGTCGAATTCCTTTGCAGTCGATATGTGCCAGCTCAACGCCTGCTAACAGCATCGGTATTTCTAATGCAGGAATTGCCAAGCATGACAGAAAAATAATCAAGTTCATCGGTTCCCGAATTAGATTGTTAGTTTTATAGTTGACAAGAAAGTTATATTGAATTTATTTAAGGTAGGATCAGATGCATCAAAAAACATCTGATAAGATTGGGATAGGAAGTTGCGAAGTTCATGACAAGAGTGAGAAATGGACGCTGGAAGGTGATTCTTATTTTGCCGCCCTACCCTTGTAAACAGATATCCTCTTAGTTACTCCTTTGCTATAAGTATAACATTGTGTAACTAAGTATGGCAATACATATTGAACGTGACATATTATTTACGGGTAATTATAAGAGTATCTTTATGTGCAGGGTGTTGTCGGATGAGAAGTGTAATCTCCATGCAAGCTTCTCTTCATTCGGAAGAGTGTTATTATACACCAGCGATCGCAGACAAGAGGCCATCTACCTGTGTCTTGGAATCAGAAAAGGAGGTAAGGAATCAACATGAAGGCTCTCCTTTTTTTGCTGACGACAGCTCTTTCGCCACATTAAACATTAGGTAAAAACTTTCGATCCTGAGATCTTGCGATCGTGAGATTTTCTCATATGCTAGGAAACGTTGGTCACATTCCACACCGCAAAAAATGGCAAGTCGTTTGCGCATCCACACCATCGCAATGAATACCGCCACAGTTGGACTTTGTTAAGACCTTGTGCACAACGTATCAGAGCTTTTTTCTCACGCAATATTTGCTGGAGTACGATTTTTTTCTTGTGGGGCTTACTCGATTTTGGATCACCGATCATGTTTTATGCGTTATTTCTCAAGCCATACTAAGCTGGTTGGAAAAGCACTTGTGTAACACGATAGTAAACGTAGGCGGGGGTGGGTCGACAGGGCCAAACGTGAACTTTTCCACTCTTCTCAGCGTGAAGCTTTTTTTTTTGCTGGAGTGATCCCAGGTCCAGCCCTTATCGTGAGTCAGGAATGGTGCACGTAACCCAGGTCAACTCACAGTTTGCAGAGTCGTGTTATGAAATGGGATCTGTGTTTGTGAGAGTGGTACCCTTCAAAAGTGGAGTGGACGGTGAACTGGAGGGACAGTAACGCTGGATGTGTGCAAGCGCTCAAGAATCATTCGTAGCGGGCCATTTAAATAAAGTAGTGACCTCCTTCTCTATTCGCGTCGTTCTCTAGCTATCTAGCGACGCACAAGTCTCTGCGAAGAAAAGTTGATAAAGGCCGGCTGAAAAGTGTTGGTTCTGTACTGTGTGGCTATAATGGCTCTGTGTGTCTGTGTTTGCCTTGCCTCTTGTACCATATTTGATTGGATTCTCTTGTCTGCCCTCTATTATGGTCCTCATTTCGCCTATCGTGTTTTATATCGCCCTTTCCTAATACCAATGTAGCATTAAAGATCATAAGAACGCAACGCGACCTTCGCAAGTGCCGCTCACACTTCCCCAACCCAGAAGTACCATCAGGGTGAGAGCGGGCAAACAGTCGTGCTAATGATTGATTATAAAAATCTATTTTGGCCCATTGTTTTCCATGCACATTCCGTGAAAAACATGTCCATAAATTGACCAAAGACATACCGCCTCAATCGGTTCCTCGGCGACCTCGTAGCAAATTCACTGTAACACACTCCCCAATGATTCTCTGAAAATCTTCAAACCCATCCCTCGTTGTCAAATACAAACGGCGATTGATCCTATGGCCTGACTGCTTCTGCCTTATAATTGCTTACGACGAGAAGTAACAACAATTCAGAAACTTGGAGTGGAGAAAGACCAGCCTGCTTGCAGCCCTGTTATAACGAGGTCGCATTTGCTGCTCTTGGTCTGTTCCGGCCCGGGCGTGTAATGCTGCCGACCGAAGGCCCCAACGTAAGTGTTGAGAATCGCGAGCAAATTAACACCCTACTTCATGTGCTGCTGTACGACAGGGTAAAAGTTATGCATGACAAACGTCGCTGCTAAAAGTCCCGACACCTGAAAGAGACATATGGTTTGCCCTCCTCGAGTTCATCGATGCATCGCTTGACGCCGACCTACTAGCTAAACTCTCGCGAGACCTGCTCTGTAATAATAACATATATCAATGTCTCGAAGTCTCCGTCTCGAGCAATCCGTTTGTTGCACGAGATGGTCGTCTCTATCGTTCTTTCTTGCGTCCCCTACAAACGTCCCAAAGGCATCAACCCAGAGCTAAGAATTGTGTGCTGATTTCCCTTCGGTCTGTAGTCATCTGACTTGCCGCCAAGCGGACTATACAGATGTGGCATTCCCGTGCACGCAAATCAACTAACACAAGCGCTGGAGCTTTGCAAAAGTTGCCGCTTTTCTCGCCCCATACTCCCCGGTCCGCTCTTGCCAGGAAGGTCCTTCAGGGAGTGACAAGCTTTTTCGAAACAGTCTTTTGTATGGTATAGCAGTGCTTGCGGGAACTACACAACAATGGTTAATTTTTGCTAAACGCCCATCCCATACCGAAAAATATCCTGTTCAATTCCCTGCGTGGTGACCAACTTTGCCTTTCGTTGTTGGACATGCTCTTCTACACGGCCCTTAGTTCCATAATATGGCATTTACCGTTCACGTACTCTAGCCTCGCCATTTGCTTCCGGTAATCTCAAGAACCGTCACTTTCACGAGTCCCGATGACAACTCTTCATGGAAAACAATGAGAACGAAATCAATGAGAACATTTTAAGATTTTTTCTTGTAAGTGCTGCTGGGCGGAAGTGGTGTAGTGGCAAGTGGCACGCTTACCACGCGAGCGGTCCGGGGATCAAATCCTGGGTCGTGAGTCGCCCGGGCCAACCAAGCCTTCCATCCCTCCGGGGTCGGTTAATTGGTACCAGACTTGTCTGGGAGGATAAAAAACACTGACTTGTACATCGGCTGGCCCCGCAAGTCATTGTATAGGCCACATCGCATTCAAACGCCACTACGAATGTACAAATGGAAGTAGAATGCGTGCCGCATCCCAAAAAGGGATTGATCAACGGCAAATGCTTTATCCTTTTCTTTTTTTAATTGCTGGTCCACGGTTTGTCTCTTCTTTGAACGAGCTGATTTTTGATACTCATCATGATGAATCCACTGAACCTGTCGTTATTGGTGAAAAATTTCACGGCGCAGGTCAGCCCGGCCGATGCTTGCCGCGCTACTAGGCGCTTAGATCAGAGGTACGAATAGATTACGAATTATTTCATAGTATATTTGTTATGGTGTGGACAATATTTTATTCACGAGACGTCTGGGGGATGTCGGCTTTTTTAGCTGAGAAGCATCGACAATATATACGTACAGTACTGACAGCATCAGTGTTGAAGCGGTAAACAAATGTTACGAAGAGTATCATTTTCATATAGGATAACGTTAAATGGAGCCTTTTGGGCGGCAAGGTAAGTGTAATGGCAAAATAAACTATCCTAATTTCTGGTAGATAAGCCTGCGCCGATTTCACGTAAAAACTACCTGCGGCTCGTGCGCGAGGTCTAACTTTACACTTAAAACCCCCCAAGAATTTGCTTGTACGTAAGTTATGTCCTGATTACGAGAAATGAATTTTATTTCCAGCGTTGGCGCCATCTGGCGATATCAGCGCGGGTTTATCTACCGGAAATTAGGGTAGATATTTCGTCATTGTATGAAAGAAAGTTGTCTAGGAAGATTAGCAGAAGTATTACAGTGCACTCTCAGTAAGGCTCTAATGCAGTAATAGTAGAAGTAGTAGTAGAATGTGCAAACATTCAAAAGACGAGGGTTCACTCCAATGCCTCCTTGTACTTCCGCAGCTCCTCTTGTGTTCGACTCCATGGTCGCGTTGAGATCAACCGTGTTTCGGTCTTTTCCTTTCTTACATCCAAGTGACGGTAATTTGCACACCGAGGCAAACATCGGATGCGAACAAGCTCTAAAAATCAATATCGTCAGGATTCGATCCAGTTATCGACCGAATAGATGAACTTACCGTTTAGTGACATCATCCCGAGTTTTGTACGATCGCCTACGGGGATCACTGCTTCGAGACCGGAAACCGCGGATAGCATCTGGAAGGCAATCAATACTATAAAATACAAGAATTCAGTACACTAGCTACATTTTAATGAATGTTTGAACCCTTTTCTATGCCGACTGAGACATTATTCAATATGCAATGTTACTATAATATTTAATATTTGATAAATTATATAAAAATTTTTCTTCTGCCATTTATAACGAAAATAGTATGGTCAAGCGATTCACGTGGGATTAGCCAAAAGCCCACGAATTAAGAAATTCATGCAATGAAAGGCATGAGCGAATTGTAGGCGGGTGCTGTGACGAACACAGCGCGTGCAAAAGTTTCGCTCCCGGGTGGGCTCGAACCACCAACCTTTCGGTTAACAGCCGAACGCGCTGCCTATTGCGCCACGGAAGCACGAGGGCAACCTTCTTACGTGCCGACACATTCGTGTCATATGAGACGAAATCGTATCAAACGATAGCAAAAGTAAAAAGACGGGGATTTGTGGAAGGGAAAATTTTGTAGCTAAAAATGCCACTTTCACGAACGTTTTCGTAGTTGCTCTTACAACAAGTGCTCAGACTAAACTCGAAAAGGAAAAATTTGATATTGAAATTTTCCTTTTTGTATCTCTTTGAGAAAATTTTTTGCGATCAAGTTGATATACCATTGCACTTGTTCGGCATAATATGGGAGCCTAGAAAGAAATTGCACTACCTTACACCAATTCTACCCTCCAGGTTTTCAACCCAAGTTTTGCGCCGGTAACACTGGTTTGAAATTACCCTTTCGAACAAGTCGACCAACGACTGCATTTTTGAGCCTATCCAAAAACTAATGCCAAAGCCTGATCTATTCTGATAAACCCTAACTAACAACAAGCCCAGAGTGGTCCTGTATAACCAATAAAACGGAAAAATTTCACAAGTACTATATGCAGGGGGAGGGTCAAAAAAGGGTCACAATCCCTCCGCTTCAAAACAAAATTTATTACACTTTACTAAAATCTCTCCAGATGCTCCCAATGAAAATTGAAGAGCACATTTCATACATTTATGAAACATTAGAACGGACTTCTACATCGAGAATTTCGGAAGAATTTTTCAGGGGAACACGATGCACGATTCGAGCTCCACGAGGTCCTAAGCGAATAGTGGACCATTAGAATGAGATCTAAAAAGCTGGTCGGAAGGGGTCTTGCTCGTCAAGTGCGCGGTTCTTGGATCGAAATCCTGCATCATAATCCGTACGAGGGCAGTTGAGGAACTGGATCTCCTCGGAGTTGGATAATCGGTACCAGACTTGACTGGCAGGGTTAGAACACCAAACTTGAGCATCAGCTGGCCTCCGTAAGTCATTGTTTACAGATAGTGTTCAAATTGTCATGTGGCTGAATGGTAGTGGGATCATCCAAACCCGGATTGATCAATGCGGAATACTTTGCCCTTTTTTATGCCACTGCGAATTTGGACGAACGCAGGTCTAAGCTCTTTATAAAAAATAAAGGGGCGGAAGTGGTGTAGTGGCAAGTGGCACGCTTACCACGCGAGCGGTCCGGGGATCAAATCCTGGGTCGTGAGTCGCCCGGGCCAACCAAGCCTTCCATCCCTCCGGGGTCGGTTAATTGGTACCAGACTTGTCTGGGAGGATAAAAACTGACTTGTACATCGGCTGGCCTTACTTCAAAAAATTGGTTCTTACTTGGAAGTCATATTTAACCCGCCAGTAGGGCAAATTTTAAGATGAAGAATAATGATGATTCTATCGGATGGCACTATGTAAATCAGGAAACTCGCCGTCAATATTGAATTCTGCCATTCGTTCCTTCTTGTTGGTATCAATGGTGAAGGTGCGGTTCATAAACGAGTTCTCCTGCCTAACAGCTTTGGCAAGAATCAAAAGTTGTACTCATAATTAACACATTGACGACAACCGCCGCTTTGAACTTGGCCAACAGTGGGAACAGAAGCACCCTGGAATTGAAATGGACCTGAATCAAAAAAAGCGTCAATGAAACCTAAACCAATTCCAACAATATCTAATGCGAGAACTTAGTCCAAGGATACATATCGGATCCGGATCAAAACCCACCAAAAGAACGGCTGGTGGTAATAAAAAGAAAAATCCAGTCCTTTTTCCTGCTGGATAAAAATACCTTCAATGTGATTAGTGAGTGGAACCCTAGTGAAACCTATATTTTCTGATCCTTTAGGTTATTTACTTCTACTACTCATTTTTATCGATATGTTCATGAAGATAGGAAGAAAACGAGGAATCGTGCGCCAATCCCTGCGCTTGAAATAGCTTCTGCTAAACGAAGCATGTTGACCATACTTCAGAAATTCGTTCAAGTCGTGTTATGTTTATCCAATAGAATAAAGCAAATAAAGGGAAAACGTGTAGGCGCTAGAAAAAGAGAGGTGACAACGGAACCGAGACCGCGCCAAGCGCGTCTCCACGTGCAAAGGGACGCGTTTGACGCGTCTCACTGTTGCCAATGTGTTAATTACATAAACTCACTCGAAAAGAAGCAAACGCAAACCTCAGAATCGGCAGTTGGCATAAGCGCTCTACACCTTACACTGATAAGTTACTGCTGAGGCGTGACGAACCAGCAACCGCGCGTTTGCACTAATTGAACACGAGGGTCGCGTTGGGTTCATTGTGATGGGTCGCATCCAGGGAGAGGGATTTGTTTGGTTGATATTTGGGAATGGGGCGCATTCAGGGTTAGAAGATTTGTTGGGGTATATGGGAATGGGTCGCATTCATGGGTTGAGAGGATTGTTTGGGTGATTTTGGGAGTGGGGTCCGCATCAGTGGTTTAAGAGGGATTAATTTGTTGGGTGACAATGGCCACACAACGACATTGCATCCAATATATTCCCACCCTCCCCCCCTCCCAAGAATCAATAGTAATAGAACAGCCAAAATCTGTCGAGGGGGCGAGGAGGGGTGGATAGTCGCGAAATTCCTAGGAAATATGCAGACGTCACCGTTGAACGCCTGGTGCGAACTGTTAAGACCAGCATTGGGCGCCAACAAACCACTACTACAGACTGAGCCCGACAACGGCTGCGTGTCCGACTCGACGCAAACTGACCGCAACTTTGAATTCCTTCAACAGTAAACACCGCCCGGAAATCTCCTGCCAATGATGCGAGTGCAAATTTAGCGCTATAAATTTACACCTTTAGCCGCTGTACTACTCATCAATTTGGATTTCAACAAGGAGTTCCGAGGCTATCGTTGCTGAGTGAACTTGAAGCAATCGTTCCACGGCGAATTGCATCTTTCGTTGCATACTGACATCTCTTGTTGAATTATCACGCAGAGGGAACTTAATTTTCAGGCTTCACAACTATACATGACACCTTCAACTGGATTGTTAACAGAGCTGGTGCAATGGCAAGTGGCATCGCTCGCCCACGTGCACGCTCAGGATCAAATCCAGCACCAGGCCAGCCAGGCCTTTCATCCCTCGGGAAACTTTGCTTGAGGCCAGACTTGCCTGGTAGAATAAAGCACTGACTGCACATCGTTCGCCCGCCAAAACTCAGGTTCGCAGCCCGCCAAAACCACTCAATATGTAGCCACCGAAATTTGCATTCACAACGGTCTGAGTGAAGTATCAACGTGGCGCATCCAAAAAAAAGGATGGTCAAACAGCGACACGTTCAATCTTTCGCCCATTTTAGTGGCTGCGCCAAGGCTTGTCAACTTTAGAGAGCTCATTTATAAACACTTACTAATTCAGTAAATAAGCCGCGTCGCAATCACGCGAAACACCTTCTCTCGTGCAGTGATTTGTACACCGTCAACTATCCGTAAATTTGCCTTAGGAAATTCGAATGCCGTATTGACGAAAAATCATCTCTTGCCTCTTATTACTCAAGTACACTAGCGGAGTGTCTACGCGATATCGCGGGCTACTACCGATCAGGGCATTGAAGGGCCCAACGATCACAATATAGAAACTACAAAAATTGACAAATAGTCATAAGACGGGATGGATCACGAATCGGTCCTTAAAGCAATGCTGAAGAATTTTGGGGGAAGAAAAAGCGATAACGAGGTGGATAAAGGGTCAAACGTGCACTGCGGCATTCTCAACGGTAACGAAGGTATTTGGTTCGAGGTCCAAGAGCTGAGCAGCGTCAGGAGCGGGCTGGACTCGCGTTATACCGCTAGATCGAGCGCACGGCGCGCTCCCTGAACGATATCGCAACGCCGTCGCATTTCATTCTCTACCGCGCGAAAGAGTGCGAGTTCAATCTTATCATGATTCGACAAAATCTCAAATATGCGGAGTCTCCTACAGATGTATGTAGTGGCGTGGGAAAATCTATAACTGAAGATGAAATTAACGTCTCAATAAACATGTGACTTCCTAAAATGGGAATTTGTAGAAATATTCCATAACAAAGTGAGAACGGCTTGTAGACTCAGTCTTCTTTCGGTTCGTGCAGGATAGTATCTGAGAAAGAAGGAATGTTCGTTTTCATAAAAGTTCGCCACAGGTTTTATGGGCGAACCAACACCCCGTGCTTCCAAACGAATGCTTCACATGAAGTTCGCTGCTGCGCCCAACCCCGGAAAAGCATGAACAACTTCTCACTGCAGAGTGCATCAACTGAAAAAACTACGGCAACGCCGGGACCAACAAAACACCCCAGGCCAACTATCACCCCACAATCTGACTTCCTCTCCTACCATCGGAACCCTCCACCGGATGCCTGGGCTACTCCGCATGACCACACTCATTCTCAGTGCCGAGACGACTGAAGTTCGACGGCAAGAGATGAGCCGGACGTGTACAGCCGGACGTGAAAACTAACCACCACGGGTTAAGTTTTGTTGGGCCACTACGAGCGTAACCTTTGCAGCAGAAGCGACTCACCCCACTTGCAACCCGATCCGCTCTTACGAAAGGTGTTTTCCCTCCTCGATCTATTATTACCGCAATCACCGTCTCGGGCACACTTAGTGCAAAATGCCTAATAAACGCTAAAAACCCAAGCATCTACTGTGCAGAACGATAACTGTAAGCGTATCGCTAGCAGAAGTGTAAAAGCCCACCCGAACTCCATTACAATGTGGCTTATGTTTTTTGTTGTATGAAAGCTATTTAGGAAACCCGGTTACAGGAGTCAGGCGCAAGGGGACATGAGGAAAATATCAACAGAAGTCGTACGTGACGCTCAACGACATAATTACTGCATAATGGCCAGTGATTTTCGAGTGATAAGTAGCGAAGCGTGATATTACGACGGTCCATTTAAATTACTTTATCGAGAAGAGGAAGTAACAATATGTCTGGCCTGAGTGGTCCCCACACCAATTCGGTAAATAATTTCCTAAATGATTTTGTACGCCGAGTTGCAAAATGTGTTGAGACGTGCAGCTAATGCAAAAGCGTCAGTCCCCCGCACTGCCATGGGAATGCCGTGAAGTTTTTTTTTTGAAAATTCAATCTTGGGCAGAAAGTTTTCACACCATTCACAAGTGAATGCCAAATGTGGAATTCAATTATTTATTGAAACGCTTGGAAAAAAATGTGTTCCCCGTGAAATGTGTGAAAAGCTAGGATCTTTATTTACCACGTCCTCATGCCGTCATCACTTGAACAAAAAGGTTTGGAAAATCCACCCATTTCAGACCTCTCCACTTATCAGGTAACTGCACTAATTATAAGCGGCTGAGCCTACCATCTTTCTGAAGCTTATTAAAGGCGGATTCTACAACGAAAAGATAACCCATTGGAAATTAAGTTGGGGATGGTCAGTGATACACTAAAGAAGAAAAAACCGAGAAAATGGCCCAGAACCCGAGAAATGGGACCCTTCCTTGCCCGTTGATTTGAGCATTGATGCGACTCTCATCGTGCTGCCCTCTTCAACGCTAACGCTCTAACCTACTTTACACCTCCGGCCCTAGGAGGCCATCAGATGGAAACATTGGAGGTAGAAGTAGCAAAACAACCCCAATCTCTCACAATCACGACCCCTCCATCTCCCTCAGATGATTTGAACACTCTGAAACGGAGCTTGAGCCTACTAATCATAAGCATAACAGCCGCTTTCGAAAAAAAAGTAAGGAGAATGGCGCAACTTTCATCCCTCCAAACAGCCCGATGCATTCAACTATGACTCGGAATGGGCATACATCTGATTGCACACTAAAACGCAATTCTGAGAATGATCTGTGCTTAAAGGCACGGACCGGGATCGAGTTAGTGTGTTATTTGGTGTCAAAGCTTTGTTAAAATTAGATAAAAAGGATAAAAGGATAAAGATTCTGCCGTTGATCAATCCCTTTTTGAGGATGCGGCACGCATTCTACTTCCATTTGTACATTCGCAGTGGCATTTGAATGCGATGTGGCCTATACAATGACTTGCGGGGGCCAGCCGATGTACAAAGTCAGTGTTTTTTATCCTCCCAGACAAGTCTGGTACCAAATTAAACCGACCCCGGGAGGATGGAAGGCTTGGTTGGCCCGGACGTCGCACGATCCAGGACCGCGGACCGCGCTTGTGGTAAGCGTGCCCTTTGCCACTACACCACTACCGCCCCCGAAAAGTTGGAAACGAATTGAAATGAGGAATATCAATGAGGAGAAAAAGCAGAAAGCGTCATAGAAAACATGGAAATCGCCTCGAGAACTGGGACTTCACCCTTCGAAATTAGGTGTCGCGGGATAGGCGAGTCCAAAATGTCAGTTCACAATGTTGGCTGAAATTATCCCCTGCACTTCCTTTTTTGAATGAGGTGGAAATAAATTAATATATTTCCGCTGAAACTTTAGCCGTAGGGGTAGCTGACGATCCCGATACAGAAAAGAAATCCATTTTTGCAAAAATTGGGCAAAAATAGAACCATTCCGCAGCATTTTTGCGCCATATTGATGGAACTTATGTCTCTACTGTAACAAGTGCTCAGAATCTAACAGGGGCTACTGACGCTCCTATTAATGAGCATGATTCATTTC